TAATTAAATTTTAAAATTTTATTTATTAGGTCCTAAAAACTTAAAAAGTTTGCTAAAAGGGGTTGAATCACATTTTAATTTTGTGTTTTAAATTTAAAAAATTGTTTAATAAATCTTAATTATTTATTTATTTATTTATTCATGTATGTTTGTGAAACCCTTGGCATTTAAATGATTCTGGTAGCAGATTTAACTGCTATGACATTATATCTCCAAAAATAAACAAATAAAATAAAATAATGTGATTAGGGAAAGTAAATTAATAATAACGAATAAATTGAAGAAGGCTCAAAATAGCAGGGCTATTTTCGTAATTTGGGTGTGAGTGGAGAGAGAGAGCGTTAAAATGATGAAGGGTAGGGTGGTCATATTATAAAAAGCCTCCGTCAAGGCGTCCAAAAGAAGAAGAAGAAGCTCGTTCTCTTTTTCTCAGCTTTCATTTTCCGTTTTCTATCAAAATCAACAAGCCTTGCGATTCGGGTTGTTCTTGATAACGAATTTGGGGATCAAATCTGCTCGATTGAAACCTAATCTATAAATTTGCCTCTGTATTCGACTTGAATCATCGTGTCGACCTCGTCTCTAAGGCTCTCGCCAGCATCCAAGTGTGATCAGCAGAGCATTTACTGCCATTGAAGAGCGAGGTTAGAGGCAGAGTTTTTCAATTCATTAATGCTATGACCGTAGAAACTGTTCGTTCTCTTTCGTCTATGATATTTGCTCCCATCTGAGAGCATTTATTAGGATAGATGGCCTTCCAACGGCATCGCAGTCCTGCTTTAAATTCTTCATTTACTTTTCGAGCTTTGAAATTTCTAGGTTATTTACGAACTCGTCGAGAGAAATCGATTTGAGGAGACGATTCCTTGTTTTGTTCACATTTGAAAACCTTTCTGAAATTATATGGATTCTGTAGATCATTTTCCTGTCCGAGAATAGGCATTTGATTTTGTTTTGGCTTAGTTTTGAAGATACATCTTCTTTTGCAGGGAGGGGATGATTCTGCTTGTTTCTCATTCACTTAGAGTAAGTTGCAGTCAACTATGACTTTGCACCGGAACTTATTGATCGTCATAATCGCAATTTTCTCGGCTTCTTTAACAATCGCCGGGGAGTTAACGTCCTGCGAAACTGGAAATTCGGCTGAATTTGTACAACATCCGTTTGGATTCTCAAACTCGAGCCCAATCAAATTGAATTGCAGCAAAAATGGCGAGGTTCAAATCGGAAGATTCCAGGTCCAGAACATTACTGAAAGGAGCATCCTCATCAAACTTCCTGAAGAGTGCAATATCTCTATCAATTCAATGTCAGAACTGTTCGGCCAAAACTACAAGCCCACTCTCCGCAATAGTCTCCTCTTGAATTGTACTGAACAACCTATTTCATGCGGAGTAATGGCCAATTTCAGCCAGAATCAGAAGAAGAACTGCGGCTTTAAGAGTAATAATTTCACCTGCTTCACTAAGACCGAGCGGAAGGGATTTCTGCCCTCTTTAAATAAGTGCCAGTCCCTTTTGTCCTCTGTATTCGTTAATTTTACGTCACAATCGACCTCTTCGTTCGAGCTCCAGTTTGGGGTCATTGAGTTAGAGTGGTGGCTCTCGCCCGTGCCTTCTATGCGATGCTCGAAAAATGCCAATCGCAAGAACATTACCAGCTTTGCGGATCTCCTAGGATTTCGTTGCCAGTGCATAGAAGGGTTTGAAGGAAATGCTTACGACGACGTCGGCCACGGCTGCCGGAAAGGTAAGTCGCTGAGTCAACTTGGTGGCTACATACAACTTATTTTATTAAATATACATTAAATATGTGTTATTTGAATATTCAACGCTTTGTGTTCCAGTTTATTTTTAATTTTTTAGTGGGTGGCCTAATATACCTATTGCCAGAGATAAACTAGGAAAATAGACGACAAAAAAACGGCACATGTTAACCAATTAGATGTCGACACCTGGTCCTTTTTAGTCAATGCTGCTCCTCCTTGTCGTGTGTAGGGGTTCATTTGCTTATTTCCCGTCTACATTTAATTTGTTCGACCGTGGGTAAGATGGTGGTTGAATACCTTAAAACATTGCTAGAATTGGAAATAGGATTTTTATTTTATATTTCTCCGAAAAATTAAATTGCTCTAAATAGGTAGAAAGAATCATGAAGGACTGCTCGTTCGGGTTTCCCCCTTTCTCTCACTCTGTTTTCATTTCTATCCTTTTTTTGGGGGGGGTGGGTGGGTGGGTGGGTGTCTTGTTCAAGTTGTAGAATTATATACTTCATAACTACAAATGTTCTTTTTGAATTCAGTTTGTTTATTCCCTCTAAAATGTATCCTTTTTTTTTTTAATTTTTTTAATTTTGAGACGTCTTTAAAATATTGTTAGTTAATGGGAAAGTCAATTATGTACGTTTCTGAAAGTTTGGCTGTGTGTCGTGTTGGTGGTTTGAGATGAATGTGCTTTTAGTGTGAAAAGTCAGAAATTTCACGTAGGTGTGAAAGCCGAATGCCATGTGCCCATAGAGAGAATGCATCATCCATAGATTTTTATGTGGGTTGTTTATAACTATAGCTCATAATTTCCGCCATAGATGTTGCCAGTTTAGAGTTTTAAAATGAGGTTCCTACTCTCTAGGCTTCTCATGATTTACAAGTCAAAGAGAGATAGATACCATTAAACATTGTTTTAGAGTAAAATTAGAAAGTCGTTGAGGTGGTAAGACTTTGTGAGAGAGAGAAAGAGAGAGGTTTGAGTCATTTTCCTCCCACAAGTAGCAGTACAGTTAGGAGTGTAAATTTTTTTCTTTTTTTGGGGACTTTTCTCCAGTTGTCATAACATGCCATGGCCTCTGTGTCATTACTATTTGTCAAGTTGTTGTTCTTGTTCTAATTAATTTGCCAAAAAAGTCGGTAAATGAACAATTTTTAAAAGAATTCTCCTTGATAGAGAATCAAAAACTTGATAATTGCAAGTAAGAAGCAAGGATTTGTTGCTTTTTTTTTTTTTTTTTTTCCTTGTTCAGTTCATTATTTATCGAGCTGGATATGTTTGCTTATATTATTAATTTGTTTTTCTGGGTGTTTCGGCATTTGCTACAGTTTCTCACAAATGCAATCTTTCTACATACATTACTGGCCACTGTGGCAGAAGCAAAGTCGCTGCTCTAATTGGAGGTAAATTCTATCCTATTTCAATTAAATGTAAATAATGAGTTACTTGTAAAATGGTACTAGATGAACATCAAGTTCCTTCTCAAAACTAATTAGTAATGAAAGGAATAACCCATCTATTTGAGATTGTGAGATCTCTGATGCGTATACTCAATAGATGGTATTTCCATTTATTTAGAAAAATACAACAATAGGTTATCTTTGGTTCTAACCTAACAGTTATAATCTCAGGTGTCATTGTTGGGGCCTTTATAATGGCCGTCCTGATCCTTATCTGTTACTGCATCCGACGCCGCTCATTGTGTTTGAAAGGTCAGATGAGTGCAAAGCGGCTTCTAAGTGAGGCTGCTGGAAATTCGAGTGTTACTTTATATCCCTACAAAGAAATAGAAAGAGCCACTAGTGGTTTCTCTGAGAAACAAAGGCTGGGAACTGGAGCCTTTGGTACAGTCTATGCAGGAAGGCTTCATGAGGATGAGTGGGTTGCTGTAAAAAGGATCAAATATAGAGACCACAATAGCATTGATCAGGTCATGAATGAGATAAAACTGCTTTCCTCAGTTAGCCACCCGAATCTAGTTCGCTTGCTTGGCTGTTGCATCGAGGAAGGCCAACAGATCCTTGTTTATGAGTTTATGCCTAATGGAACTCTCTCTCAACATCTTCAGAGAGAGCGTGGAAATGGCCTTCCATGGACGACACGACTCACCATTGCAGCCGAAACTTCTCGTGCAATAGCATACCTCCATTCTTCTGTGCATCCACCAATATATCACAGAGACATCAAATCAAGCAATATACTTCTGGATCATAGCTTCAAATCAAAAGTGGCAGATTTTGGTCTTTCTAGACTTGGTATGACAGAAATATCACATGTCTCAACAGCTCCGCAAGGGACCCCAGGTTATGTTGATCCGCAATACCATCAAAATTTTTATCTGTCAGATAAAAGCGATGTATATAGTTTTGGAGTAGTCCTAATAGAGATAATAACCGCATTGAAAGTGGTTGATTTCACTCGTCCCCCGAGTGAAGTAAACTTAGCCGCACTTGCCATCGATAGGATTGGGAGGGGTTGTGTGGATGAACTAATTGATCCTTTCCTCGAGCCAAATAGAGATGCTTGGACCCTCTACTCTGTTCACAAGGTGGTTGAGCTTGCATTCAGATGCCTCGCATTTCACAGCGACATGAGGCCTTCGATGACAGAAGTAGCAGAGGAACTGGAAAGCATTAGACGCAGCGGGTGGACATCAATGGAGGAGAATTTTTGTGCAGCATCATCAACAGGCTCGGCTTGCTCATCTCCTCGAAGCGTAAGCGAGAGATCCATAAGTAGCATTACAATTAAGAAGGCCGGGCTGCTTGCAGGACTGGGGAGCCAGAGATTGATAATCCCACCGGAGAACAACCATCAGAAGGACTATCTGCCTTCTGTAGAGGAGGTTATGGATAGTTCCCCAGTTTCCATACAAGATCCTTGGTTAAGTGAACAAAGCTCACCTTCAACAAATAGTTTATTGGGTAATGTGGCTCGGTGAAAAGAGAAGAAAAAGAAGAAGAGGAAGCTCTTTTGTAGGACATTTAACCCTTTTTTACATTTCACCACACCATTATTTGTGTAATCTTATGGAAAATCCTACATTGTCTCATTGTTCTTAACCCCTCCCCACTTATGGATAGAATTGTAGATGCCATTTTCCAGGAAATGCGAAGTATTATTTGCTCATCCTCAGGGAATGTCACATCACATGCCATCCAGGCAGTGGAATATGCTCTGATCTGTTCGATTATAATTCTCGTATAACTTGTTTCATTTTTCAAACATGTACTTCCATGAAGAGTAGAAATAAAGACTTATTTACCATCAAGAGGAGAAATTATGTCCATAATACAACAAACCATTGGATATATGACACAAGATGAACCAGAGAGTATTTGAATTGACACTTAACCCTAATGCAGAGAAAGGAGGAGAATCTACCCATGACTTCTTGGATCAGAAATTTGGTGCACTTTCCTTGCTTCAGCACTTGAAAACTGTCCAACAACACGAGCATGAGGTATCGACGCTTCTCCACGAGCAAGAGCATCGACATTCTCGAGCAGATATTGTCTTGGAAGTCGGCCAACTACATTACCCTCTTCATTCCCCTGTTTGTCCAAAAAAGCAAAATGTGGAATACCCTCAACACCAAACTCATCAAGCTCCTGCTCCCACTTTGTATTGTCAACATTCAGCATAACAAAATTCACACGGTCCCTGGAAGCCCAAAGAGATGTATTTAGCTTCCTTCAGTTTAAAACAATTAAGGATGAACAGTTCTGATGAGTCAGTCATAGATTTCCAAAAAGTCTGATAATCCATCAAGAACAAATCGTGTAAACATGGAATGATATTTCCACAAAGTGGGGAACATAAAGATCATTACTTGAACTGTTGCTCCACTTTGTATACATCTGGAGCCAATTCCCTGCAAACTTCACACCAATCTGCGTAGAACTCCACCACAGTGGGCTTCCCATTTGAGAGAGCCTGAATCATAATAACAAAACATCATATGAATCTTCCTTCTGAGCTATAATTACTTTAATTTAAGATCACAATCAGGTAAAGCAAAGAGATTGTTAGAACTATGAACACTTATGGATTCCAAACCTCTTCATAAGGCAAAGCCGCCGCAGCTAAGTCCTTCAAAGAAACTCCAAAATCCAATCGAGCTGACAAGAAAAGTGCCAGAGCTGAAACGGTAGAAATGATTGCAACCCGTCTATTGATATTTTTATCGGGAAATTCTGGGAAACCCTGATTACTGGAAGAGCTAGCGGTTTGGCCAGTGCTGTCACCGACTGATTCAGGACCGTCCGATGATTTTTCCTGGAGAAGAAGGCGTCAGAAAGATGAACTACAACCAGAAAATAAAGGTATCAGTCCTGAAGATTTATGAACTATTTTGCATTTATTACGAGGAGAATCGAGAAAATTCATTTAGCAATTGATCTTGATTTCAGGTAATTAGGGCTTGATTCAATAGTTGAAGATACATGAAAAGAACAACTGAATTACACTTCGCAAAAGCTTCAGTATATCCTCAGCGCGGTTGATAGAGAAAAACAAAAGGAAAATCGAGGAGGAAATTGAAAAGGAGATGATGAAGAAATTGAAGCATACCGCATCGGAGGAAGTGTCGGCGGGATTAGGAAGCGTTTGGCAGACTATGCCTGAAAATTTCCGGCGGGAAGTTCGAAATCCGGCAGCGATGGGTTTAAGGAGAGGCTGAGGGATCCGAAAGGAGAGCGGGATTCTGTGGAGGGTGAATGAATCTGAAGCAAAGCGAGCCATGGGAGATTTACAACTCTGCGTGAACGCCATTTGGGAATTCATATCAATTCCTGAAATTCGCAATAACAACCAGATAAGTTTACTCGCAAAGATCTTTTCATTTCACCTTTTCACTTCGCTTCAACGAAGAACAAAAGAAAAAACAAAACTACGATTTCTAAGTTAATTCATCGACGAAAAGTATGCTTTAAATGAAACAAATTCATAATAAAACACCTCCAAACACAAAATTGAATGTGAAATTGTGAATTGAAACTAAAAAATAAAAAATAAAAAATAAAAAAAAATAAAAAACCAAATTGTACTTTTTAACAGATAAGAAATTAACACAGAAAAATAGAAAATAGAAAATTAGTGTAATTTCACTTATAAATTTTTTTCTAAAATTAATTAACTATTCCAATTTATTTTCTATTTAAATTTTCCTAATTTAGGCCACTAATTTTATGGAAAAATTTAAATTTGATTAATTCATAAATTAAACCAGCATAAACTTTATATTTTTGGAAGCATTTTCAAACAAAAACTTGTGAGTAAAAATTGTAACATGTAAGGTTATGGTGCAATTCGATGAGATTGCAAGTTTAGAGTAAAAATTGATACAAAGTTCTTCCCGTTGTTCATGATAATGTCCAGAAAGTCTCTTGAAATTTAAAGGAGACTTACCTTAGCAGAGTTCATATAGACGGTTACCTCAACGAATTTCTTGCCCCCTATAACTCAATTCACTCTGTTAAACCCTACTTTCATACCTGTTCGGCTCATCCTATGGGCCTCGCCATAAACAAAACGAGTCATTAATTTTTCCTCCAAAGCCCACTGACCAATATGCAAGCACAACCCAAGCCAAGTTCCTTTCCTCTGCTCACATACACAACAAAATCTCACCATTGCTTTAGTTCATTCTGTATAAATCTTCTATTATCAAATCAAGTCGTTGCAGTATAGTGGTGAATATTCCTACCTGTCACGCGGGTGACCTGTTTTGACTTCTTGAAGGTAGGTGAAGCCTAGTTAGAATGTGCAAAAAAAAATGCCAAAATTGGAGAATGAAAATCCACTAATTTAGAGGGGAATAAAATGTGACCTGCTGCACAAATAGATTTTTCTATTTACCTCTTGGGTTAGATGGAGAGCCGAAGGAGTATATTCCGGCCTGGGATTAATATGCGTGACACACGGCCCCTCAAGTGAAAAAGCCAAATCGGCCTCGGCCCCAGTTTGCCTCTTTTCCTGGATCCACATGAATGCAATTTTGTGGTTCTCTTGTGGATTGCAAGCAAAGCTGCAAGGATTGTGGAGAGAGGTTCCTGGGAGCATGTGGTAACCAGCAACCCACTAAAGCCTTAGATTTGTGCCAACGCCAACGCCAACGCCCACCCTTGACTTCATGTCCCCATCTAATCACACACATACGCACACGTTACTAGATGCAAAGCTTTCCCTCATACAAACCCACTTTGGCATTATTCAAATTCTATCTAGAAACTACCAAAATGCACGTTTCAACTGTACCTAACATTCTTTTATCTACTTTTCATTAACTTCCTCTCATGTCTAAATCTCTTTTTTTTTTTTTTTTTTTTTAATCAAAAGTAGATCCAGAGGAAAGAGGCATTTGAAACCTGATTGAGCCCTTGTTAAAGCAAGTTCCAACGGAGTAGTCTTTTTGATTAATCAATGCATGTTTCTTCATCAATCAGAGGGCCCAAAAGGGGCACGCATTGTGTTGGAGACAATCTTGCCCCAATTTGTGCTGTGATTCAAAGCATTTCAGTGGAAAATGCTTCAACTATGAGTAAGATAATATGTATATATACATACATGCTGACCTACGTGCTTCCTTGCCATGAAATAATGCGTATGAACAAATAAATAAACTAATCAAAGAATCTGTATGCTCAGTTTTTGTGCATTGTGCCCACATAACTTAGCTGCATTTTGTGGGGTTTTGTGCCCTTTTGGACGTTTCCCCCTCTTCATTTCAAAGTGCTTTACCCACTTCAGATTTTTGAATTGCAACTACTTTAGGATATACTTACTTACTGCTAGCCTATGTCGTTTCTGGTTTTACAATTATATAATAATAATTCAACCGAAGAATTTATAATTTGTAATATATAATTATGTAAATTAACTGAAGAAAAACATTTATAATTTGGTAATATAACTTTTTTTTGGCATTATATTGTCTTCCTTCCCTTCTTTGAGACCAATTGTTTTTTTCCTAATCCAAACCATGTGGTTTCAATAATTACTGGATTCCCTCATTACAATTCTGCAATCTTCTTTATGTATTTTTAATTCAATCCAAGATTTTCCACCCCAAAAAAACGGGAAAATAATTAATGAGAAGATTCACTTTGTTAATTAAGTGGGGTTTGTCTGTCTATCCAATAATCCCCCTTTGAATTTTATATTAAAGTTGAAATCATTGTATAATTATATATTTCATATGATTTCTACTGTTTATGATTAATGTCCCATGCCTTAAGATGGACATTATTGCATACCAATACAGCTCAATGGTATGTTTGATTTATGTTATATTTGAACCTTTATACATCAAATTTTGATAATTAATAACTTCTCGTAGCTTTTAGTCTCTTGTGATGTTATTATTATGGAAAAGAAAGAAATAAATCTTTGGATTGGGTTCACATATTTCATATGGCCCCCACTTCATATTCCCATTATATTGGTGAATTGCATAGTCTCATCTGATCTGGGCAGGCAGGCTGCCATTATGAGTTCCCTCCCACTTAGGTCACACTACCACTTGGGGCATTCATAACTCATACTAGCTGTCCCAAAGATTCTAATATATTTTTCTTATAGTTTGCATTTTTTCAAGCCTATTTCTAATAAACCAATCTACTTTTAAAAAATTTACACAAATTTGTAATTGAAAAATCTAAATCACATTGGGTGAGTTCATCCATCTCATAAAAAGTAGAGAGAGAGAGCTTACCAGAGTACAGCGGCAGCTTTTGAAATGGGCAGAGTCGGTGGGTGGGTGGGTAAGGGAAGCATTGAATTTTGTGTGTAAAACCCAGATTTGTGATTCAGCAGCTGCTCTTCTGCATGAAACAATTATAGATACAAGAGGTGAGAGCCATTGCCATCCTTCCACGCCCCCCATATTAAAATCTGGAAAAATGTATACTAAAATAAAATATTCAATCACTTACCTAAAAGCACTAACCCCCCCAAGTTGGCATTCCCTAGCTGTTTCTTATGAAATTAAAGAAAGTGATAATGTCACATTAATGGGCCTCCCCCTATTTACAAAAAAAAAAAATATATTACCTTTACAACTCAGTTCCCTTTCATATTCACATATTTTTTTCATGAGATTTTATTAAATTTACTCGTTACAAAAGTAAATATGAGAGTTTTTTTTAGTGAAATATATGTGGCATCAGTTTTGAAAAAAGGATTCTCTTTAAAAATTATAATTTATAAAGTTTAATAAGTACTTCAAGTAGTTTAGACAAAAGAAGAAAAAAGAAATATAGTGGGTAATAATATGCAATTAAAAACTTTGTGTTGAAAAAAAAAAAAAGAAAAAAAAAAAGCTGCCATTAATTTCTTAAAATAAAAGGTAACCGACCCTCAAGAAATTAGGCTTGTGGCAAAGCAAGAAACTCTTTAATTGAATGGAAAGAAGCAGAAAAACATGAATTCCAGCCTACGGTTTCCTTTGTTTGACGATGGGGAAGAAAGGAATTGAATCAATTAATTATTTGATGGAAGTCTAAAATGGAGCGGGTGAGATACTGACCTGATTCGTAGACCAAGAGCAGCGAAGAAAAAAGGAAATTTTGTTGAAACCCCCCATTTGTCCGATCTGAGAAGAGGGGTTTTTTTCTTTTCTTTTCTGTTCTTCTTTAAATTCCCATTTGGCATTCGCCTTTTGATGCTATTTGTCAGATTTATTCTTCTCAGCAAAGGCAATCGCAACGAGCTAAAGCACAACCAAACAATTTTCTCTCCATCACTGGTCGTTTTCCTTTTTATCTGTTCTTCCGGAGAGAAGTCCATTTCATCCAAACACAAACACAAACAGTCCTCTAAGATCTTACTTCTTTCCCTTTGTTTCTTTGTTTCTTTGTTTGTTTTCATCCTCTAAAACCCCCCGCAGATTTCTGTGCCTTCGGACTTCTCCAGCTTCTGCGAGAAATGGATCTGGTTTTCTAGTTTCAGGGACTGATTCTTCGGGGCAGTGTGCAGAAAATGGCAACGGAAATACAAGCTGCTGCAGAGAACCCCAGCTCTAAGAGGCAAGCATGGTGAGTTCTCATGTCTTCCTTCCCCATTTTCCCACCTTCGGCTAAAGCTCCCATGTCAATGGTGCTGATTGGGAAGGTATTTTTTGGGTTTTCTTTTTGCAGGTTCTGCACCACTGGCTTACCGAGCGACATTGTCATCGAAGTGGATGATATGGCTTTCCATCTCCACAAGGTCGCCTTCTAAATCTCGAACTTACTTGATTAGTAGTTTTTTTCCTTTTCTTTCTTGGTTGATTTGGTTGTTTCGGATAGTTCCTCTTGAGTTCTGGCCTTACGGATTTGTAAATTTTCAGTTTCCTCTGATGTCTAAGAGCCGGAAACTTCACAATTTGATAACTGAGCAAGAAGAAGCCAACTACACTACTCCTACCAGAGAAAATCAAAATGAAACTGCCGAAGCAGAACAACAGGAAGAAGACGAAGTTGAGGAAGATCACTTCCACATAGTGCTCTCTGATTTCCCCGGCGGCTCTGAGATCTTCGAAATGGCATCGAAGTTTTGTTACGGCGTGAAGATAGACCTCAACTCTTCCAATGTCGCTCCTCTCCGCTGCGCCGGAGAGTTTCTGGAAATGACGGAAGAATACAGCGAAGAAAACCTAATCTCAAAAACTGAGAGATTCCTCTCCCATACCGTACTCAAAAGCATCAAAGAGTCGATTAAAACGCTGAAATCTTGTGAGCTTGTAATGCCTCAAGCCGAGACCCTATGCATTACGCAGAGATGTATCGCTTCGATCGCTTCAAAAGCGCCTTCCGCCGATCCCGCTTTGTTCGGATGGCCAGTCAGTGACGAAGCCACTGGCGCTCAAGATCATTCGAAGCAGATGCTGTGGAATGGAATCGAAACCGGAGGGCGAAAGAAGAGCGGTGGTAGAGGAAGCAAGGGAATCTCATGGTTTGAGGATCTCGCACAGCTGAGTCTGCCTCTGTTTAAGCGGTTGATTTTCTCCATGAGAGATCAGAAAGTAAGCTCGGAGATTATTGAGAGCTGTTTAATGAACTACGCCAAGAAATATATTCCAGGCATATCCAGGTCGAACCGGAAGCCGTCGTTGCCTTCCTCCTCTTCGTCTAGTATGCCTACGGAGACTGAACAAAAGGAGTTGTTAGAGACCATAATCAGTAATCTTCCACTAGAGAAGAGCTCCAAAACTTCAACTGCAACAAGGTTCCTCTTCGGATTACTGAGGACGGCCAATATACTGAATGCTTCGGAAGCTTGCAAAGCTGCTTTAGAGAAGAAAATAGGATCGCAACTCGAACAAGCAAAACTGGACGATCTTCTGATTCCGAGTTATTCATATCTGAACGAGACCTTATATGACGTTGATTGTGCAGAGAGGATCTTATCCTACTTCTTGGATGGACTCGACGAGACAAATGAAGAGGTCACTGAAGCTAATCAAGCTGAGGACGATGGTCTCAGATCGCCGGCGTTAATGCTCGTCGGCAAATTGATAGATGGATATCTCGCGGAGATCGCCTCCGACGCCAATCTGAAGACGGAAAAATTCTACAACCTCGCAATTTCTCTCCCTGAACAGGCTAGGCTCTTCGACGACGGTGTTTACCGAGCCGTCGATGTGTACCTCAAGGTTCGCAAGAAGCAATCTCCTAATCTCTACCCTGCATTGATCTCAAAATCCTCCATCGGTATAAGTTACTCAATTATGTAAATTCTTTTG